AAACTGTTTATCAGGAAAGATTGAGCCAACTTTCACATTTATGAGACTCCCCCGCCTGGAATCAGCCCCACCGTCCTTTGTATTTAGTGATTGTTCAGCCCCGCCCCCTCCAGTCTTGCGTTCTGGACTTGTATTTGTGCTTGACCCGCGTCTTGGTTTGAATACGTCTTTGAGTCTGCCAACTGGTGACGATGACCGCCTTTGAGATCCGTCGATGGGAGCTCGAAGGTTTTGGGCAAGGCTCTTGGAAGCTGACTCGGAGGTAGCCAGACTGTCTGTGGAATCTGCGAATGGTTCTCCTTCTGAGTGAGAAAGTAAGGGTCCGATTTGTGGAATTGTCGAAGTATGTATGAGTGGGGACGAAGAAGTAAGATATCCAGTGTGCGAAGGGTGCGTAGTCAATGGTGGAGGTGTTTCGGCGGCCCTATCAAAGCAGCAATTTGAATTAGAAACTTAATTTCTCAAAGCTAAGATCAGTTCTCCACATATCAAAGCAAAGATGGATGCTAAAAATAGGCAAAATGCAGTGCGAGATGGGTAAAAAAAAATGGATAGAAATCGTAAATCAAGCGATTCGGTGGCGGTGCGATGTCGATGTTGTGATTTTAGGGTACAACTGTGCCGTATGCAAGATTGACGATGATGATGATGGGGAAGAAGCCTGCAAATGTTGTAGTTGTGGTTGTGGTTGTGACGCCTGAGATGCCCCTAATGGATCCCTCCAACTTTTTTCGCTTTTTAAACCATGTCTCATTGTAATCCCCAAACCTTGAAATCACCGCGCGAGATTGACAGACAACTGTCGGTGAGGGGAGCAAAGGGAAATGAAATAATAAAAGAAATAGGAGAGCAAGCAATCAAATGCGAACACCTATGAAAGAGTGGATTACTTACGACTCTGTTTCCGAATCATATGTTAACAGACTACTTCCACCAGAAGGGTTCCTGTGGATGGGATTTCTGATCTCATTCTCCAGAGTTCCTCGCTCAGCAATATATTTCCCACGAGCTACTTCTTCTGCCAAACGTTGTTCCGCCTCCTCTCGTTGTAATCGCTTCTTTCTCTTTTCGAATCCTTTCGGCACGAATTTCTTGAGGCTATTCGACGCATGGCTTTCCTCCTCGGAATCCGAATCTTTCTTGATTTTGTCTATCACTTGCTCCAACGAGGCGCGGAAACCATGCGACATATCACTTGCGCCGCTCCTCACTGAATGTGATGTGGAATTTCTATGTCTCCTTCCATTTCGCGATTTCGAAAAGATCCCCGTGGATTTGGACGATTCCGAGGCAGTTGGCGATGCGGAAATGTCGTCCATGGCGGGGGTATCGGCCAGAAATCTGTAAGCTTGAGTAATTCTGATCTACCATGTGCTGAGGAAGGGATCGCAGTCGAAAGACAACCCTTCCGAGATGGAGATATTGATATGCAACGTGATTGGAATTGTGCGATGTGCGAATAATGCTTGGTACTGAGTAGGTGGTACGGTAGCTTCGGAGGTTGGAATAAGTAGACTCAAAGTTCTAGGCCCATGAAATGAATCCAAGATGAGAAGAAGGCACCGGCTCGACTGGAATGAGACTTGATTTTGGGATGAACTTGGGATCATTCCAAAAGGTATCGGTGCAGTACTGCTCAATTCGCAAAACCTGACGATGTGACGCGTCAATAGGTACGATGCTTGATTTGAATTGAATTGAATATCTTATGGTATGGAATAGTACAATTGTTTAAATATACGCAAACCCAACAAAAGAGGTGAAATTCCAACAAACTCTCCAACTTTCAAAGACATTCGGATTCTCATCATCATTCCGACCTACCTAGTGCTTGATTGATTGAGTTACAGCCAGAAAGATCAACCACCTACCTACCTTGGTAACTGCCTTGCTTGCCCCTGCCTACCCCGATACTTACTCACTCAACACGAGCTTTCCTTGTGAATTCATTGTCCTTCTCACGTCAAGTTATGCAAGGGAAAGTTGCGGCCAGCCAGTTGGGAGATTTGAGGCTAGTTGGATTGATTGTCATGGCTATTTTGACCTCAAATGCAGTACAGAGTATATATCTAGGTAAATTTCAGACTCTGTATAATAAGTAGGTAACATGTAGCACGTACGTTCTACAAGATGCTTTGAACCTCTCCCTCTTGTAGATTGATTGTTGATTTTCTTTTCGGTTTTCAGTTAAGTAAGTATCAAACACTTGAAATTGGCCATTGTAAGCTTATTGCTTCTCTCTCTCTCTCTCTCTATCTATCTATCTATCTACCTATCCAGTCAGGTTGAAAGATAAGCAATGCCGACTATTTACCCCAGACAGCTTAATCTATCCCTATCCGATGATCACATCCTGCCTTATTCCTCCTCATTCTTCAAACGTCCAAACCCACACAACATTTGAATCCATATTGACTCGATTACGGTCGCTTGAATAGAAACCTACTGTATGACTTACACAACTTTGAATCCTTGATAACTATGGAGGCTTCTTCATTGGCGTTGGTATAGATATTCCCATCTTACGTTCAAACGTCATGATCACCTCTAACGAATAACCAATATAGGCCCATGATCATGCTCGCGCTGCAGTACTCGCGACGCATAGTTCAGATACGACTGTCGCAATTAACGAACATGCATTAGCTGCGGGAGAATTTGCAAAAGCTGCATCTGGAACAGGAAGCGCAGAAGCTTCTAGGACTCTGAGGCTTTTAGAACAACATCATCAACGACTCTCAGAACTCCTTCGATACCCCACTGAACACCCCGTAACTCCGAACGCAAATGCGAACGAAACGGATGTAAAATCGGTCACGGAAAAACCTGTATCGACATCTGCGGCTGTAGCAGAATTACGCTCTTCCAAGTCAGACCTTGGCCCTCGCACACGAAATACCTCAAGCTCGCAAACTCCCAGGCGTCTCCCTCCGCGCGAATTGTCTTCTTCAATTGCCAGTAATCTAGCTTCTGCAAGAGGCATACGCTCAAGTCATAGTCGTCAGCCACTCTCACCAAGTATATCAGCTTTACAGGCGCCAGGTACTCTCGACGGACGCCGAGACGGTAGTAAAAAGCCAAATGTTGCATCCATCCCAGAGCACACCACATTGAAGCCCAGTTGGGTACCCCCTCAACATACTCAAACCAAAGCAGACGCTCAAACTTCTACATCGAGAACATCTGCGGTCGCCGAGCCAAAATCATCTCCTGCGACTGCCCAAGATGACGGATTCTCGAAGTTCTACAGTGCCTTCAATAGTGTCGTTTATAAGCTATCAGCCCCATTAGCATTTGCTGGCTTGCCTCTATTCTCAGAGCCTGAACCGTCTGCAAAGTCACCAGAAATATCACCTACAACCACTCGCAAAGGTAGACCCCGAAGCAGAGAAAGGCTGCCCACGGAGGAGCCTGATCTTACCAAATACATATCCAAAGCCGCTCTTCGTGCATCTGCTCGTGATGGTCATCCGGGCAATGATTCCTTCTACGTAGTTCCCACAACGGGTGGTATGGTATCATATGCACAGATTCTCTCTTTTGAAAAGAAAGAACAGCGTCGTTTGGCAGCATCCATGCATGGCATAGATCCGCAACTTTTCCCAGATCCAAATGATGAGGATGATTTTGTCGATGCTCGCGAAACGCCCATGCCTAGTTCACCCAGCAAATCGAAAAGCAATCGTCGTATAGCTGGTAGAGAGACAGACATTCGCATCGAAGAACTAGATCTCGAGAATAAAAGCCTGAAAAAATGTATCGACAAACTCAGCCAACGACTCCATGCTTTCGAAATGTCAGCGCAGAATAATGGTTTGGCGTTGCAAGAAAGTATTCGTCTAATGCGACCTGATGATAGAAGTCCAGGCGGTAAATCAAACGATGAAATGGCTCGGAAAGTAATAGAGCTTGAAGAGCAAATGAAGGTCATAAATAAAGAAAATCAAAGACTATTCCGCGATAATCAGAGGTATCGAGAGACACTCTTGAGGTACAGGGAAAAGTTCGATGCATTGAAGGCCGGGGCAAGGGGTAGAAGGGAAAAGGAAATGAGTGTAAAAGAAGTAGAGTCGAAGGATGGAAGTGTCAAATCAGGAAATGGCGCGAACAAACTGGTAGGAAAGGATACGAGAGAAGCAGGCGCAGGAAGATTCATGGCGGGATAGATGGCTAAACGCATTTCGATATCGTGTTGCCATGTACTCGGAACCTTTTTTTCGAATCACTATCAAGCGCTCAAGATTGTAAAGCGTCAATAGCTATCTCGACCTGCAAGGTAAAATGGTAAAAGGAAAGGTAAAAGGTGTATATTTCGAGATCTCTAGCATCAATCTATCTATTTCATCATCATCATCCATTATCTACGTCTACGTCTGCGTAAAGCCAAACTATATATCCGATTCAATCACATCACCAAACCAAATCTCATGTGTGACACCTATGTGCACTTGTCATATCACAGTGGTTCAAAAATTCAAAGCCAACACTCGAGTTTCATCCGCAAATGGTTGTGTGCGTGTCGTTGGGTTAGTGGTGCGTGGTACGTACAAGTGATGAATGTTGAATGTTGAACGAACGAGGTAGACTGAGACTGATGAGACTGAGACTGTGTGTACTATGTAGAACTGGATTTCAGACAAATCGGCAATACACATACATATATTCACACCACGACACGACACAAGACAACACGTTCATGAAGAAATCCCTACTTCATTTTCTTCTTCTTTCGATTGACTCCGTTCAGCGAGTATTCCCGCGTCGTGCACTCCAATGTACGTATGTGTGTTTGTATGTATACGTATCAAAGACCGGAATAGTGTTGAAACTTCCTCTTCCATTTCTCACACTAGATATAGTATATGAGATCGAAATCTGAATCCATTTTTGCGCTCCTATATTTTCTTTGCACTCCCCCACCCAATCTACAAAGATCTCTATCTATCCCAAATCCGAACGAATCTTCATACCCAAAAACATCCACCCACGACGACCATGACCTATTCATTTCTACTAACCTCTCTCCTCAAAGCCTTCAATTCATCTCTAATATCCTTTACTCCTGCCTCTCCGCCTTCGTCAAAACTCATCCTTCTTCCCCAGCCCTCTGGTTTCCTCTTCAAGAATGCACCCACACTCCCCAGGTATCCTTCATGTCTCAGAAACATCGCCTTTTTCTCTCCGTTACTCCAGAATTTGATCGCATAACTCAATGTATTAATCGTTTGTCTATGTCCCCTAATGAAACTACCTCCGAAATATATCGTTGACAAAGAATGTTTTTCCGATTGCAGATATGCAATTTGTCCTATGTTGTTAGAGATTGCATACAAGAGGGACCGGGATATATCCTCATGGGAAAATGGGGGTTCCTCGGCGGAATGAGAGGAACTAGATGGTTCTTCGCTGTTGTTTTGTCCTCCCGAGTCTTCGGCGAGTCGCTCGGCTTCTCGTTTCATGCGGAAGACTTTCCCGAAGGAACTGGCGATGGTGCTACTCTTGAGCCCGATTTTGCCATAATCTGTACCGTAAATGTCGCCGACTAACATGTCGACTTTGGCATTGTCACCTCGTTCGGCCATTCCGAGCATATCGTCGAATGTTCGAGCACCAGTCAAGAGAGATAGTAATCCCCAGAGTGTACCACCGCCCAGAGAGGTTCCACCAACCCTTTGATATTCTCGTGGTCCAGACACTTTTATCATGGATACACCGCTCCCTATATTGACGAGGAGATATGGGTATATATCTGGACTAGGCGACGTGAAATGCATAGGATCTCTTTCGCTATACGTGAATACTTCCCGGGGGATCTCGGTAATGAAGAAATCAAGACCTGTGGTTCATTGTCCGTTAGCATTGCATAACATCAACAGGTCGCGTGCCATAGGGGAGGGAAAAAGTACCGATGATCAAACATTCCATCTCATCCTCTCGTATAACATCGACACCCAAAGCTTCCTTGATCTTATCATAGTACTTATATGCCCCTCCACCAGTTGCCATTACACATAAATCCCCAGGTCTCGATCCATTGAGTTTCTGCTGCTTGATCTGCAGCTGTTTCATAAACTCCACACAATCATCTATGCGATCCGTCTCAAAATTCATAAAATTGAGTCGACCACCTGGCTCGCGCGAATGCGCCTCCCTCGAGAAATATACAAGCTTAGCTAAAGAACCCCCAATCTTAAACACATGTCAGTATATCAATCACCCATCCACAGCTATGATTCAAGAAAATGAACTCATACATCTACAGCAATATGACTGACCACCGCCGTATGGTTCGGCAGCCGAATGTCCTGGGTATCATAATTCCTCTCATTCGTATTCAATTCCTTTGGTAAAACCGAATCCTGATCGACTATGAATGCGCCCGTCACATTAATCTTCACGCTTCCTGGATGGATGATCGTACTATCGATTTCTGCCGTGTTTGTTCTCGCGCGCAGATGTCCGCCGACCGAAGCTTGCGAGGAGGGATTGGTGGGGTTTTCATTATTGGAGATGGAGGTGGAGGGCATGAGATTCTCTTCAGTCTGCGGGATATCCGCAGACATAACGGATGATTGCTGGCCGGAATGCCAGGGAATTGAAGGGATTATAAAGACATAAATAGAAGATGTTGGAAGAAGAATCTGACATTGACGGACTGGAGTTTGATTGATTGCTCTTTTGGAAGAGTCATTGCCGAGCCGAAATACTACCAGTAAGAGGTTATTAGTTCAGGGGTCTCTCTTATCGATAGGCAATCAAGTGCCGTCGTCAATTTGTTTAGGTTTCGGCATTCAAGTTCTCTGTCTTCCTTTTGCCTTATTTGAATTGTTCGTGGTGATATGCAACGATTAACTTGGGTTTATACTTCTCACTTGTTCAAAACGATCAAGGTGATCATGCAAATGTTCTGCGTTGTCCGACCTCTGCAGGAACAATAGGAGAAAAGAAACGCCATTGTTTTGATTTCACGTAGTGGTGATCTCACATTCAATTTTGCCGGCGGATTGCTTCGTGATTATGATATATTTCACAAAAACATGAGTACAAGCATGAAAAACGCTTGATTTGAACTTTTGTAGCATCTGCTGTATAATCTGCTCCTTATTTTCCTTTTATCTCTAGCTTACGTCTTCTTGCAAGTGCAATTATCGAATGTTATGCTCGAATTTAATTAGTCAGATAATGTTGATCTATCTCTGGACAATATCTCTGCGTGTGAAGCACATGTCGGAAATTCCGCAGATACCGACTCATTTAAATCTATCTAGCACATCAGTAGTGGGAATCGAGATGATTCCAAGGCTGACCAGTTCGCCGCCTGCTCGTCCTTCATATGAATTCGAACAGAAAAGAATCTGCCAACTTCCTTGCAAATGGTATCACAGCAGGCAAAGAAGTAGATTTGGCGATCAGCTTATGGCACAAATAGACGAGAGGGAAAGGAGTTGAGGTGACATTACCATACCATCGTAGTATGCTTCACTAACAAGATCAATCGTTCATTTCTGATAGAGAAACCTTTGAAGTGTACCGTTGTGAAAGAAGCAATCAATGAACGTGGGGTAGACTGTTTCGAGTGTCGATACACATACTATTCTCTTGACAAACTCACTGTGAGATAGGAATAATCAGGAGCTGAGCTGCTTCATGCTGAATGGAGCGGGAATGTGGCAGCGGTATTACTGATTTCTCTGGAAACTCACGGGATGTTTGACATACCCATGGGTGGCTAGAACTCTGACCTGATTCAATAGCAACTCATTGTCGGATCACTATTCTGAATCTAATTCTACTTCGCTTGGTTTCGTTAGGATAGTTCTCGATTTAGCAGAAAGATATCTCTTGTATAAACGCTCGGGAAAGAAGAAAGTCGAGAAACGTTGAAAAACATATCTTTTAGATTTTCTAAAAAAAAAACATTAAATAAAACTTGATAGACCCAAGAAACTCTGCGATAACTCAAAGTTGGGTGGGGTTTAGATACCTAGATAGTTGTGGTTTCGTTCCTTCATTATGAGATTCGCATACTGGCTGTTACATTATGACCCTAGACTGACAAACGTCAAAATCTACTTTACATCAAGAAGCCTACAAAGCTCCAGACCTCCCGGTAAACTATACTTGGCCATTGATTTGTGTGTGTATCAAGAATGATAGAAGAGCGTTTGAGCCCCAATTGATAGCCTTGGTAACAACGCATCGTTCGTTTATCCATCAACGCAATGCGCTCATGACAATTCACCAAAACCTCAAAGCGACTACGATTCCTCATAATCCCGTAATACAAATTCTTCCAGACAGAAAAGAAGAGCTCTCGAAGCTCTTAGCGATACCCGAACGAAACTCCCTGGCTTGCTCCTACCACTTAAAAAAAAAACTTCGACCCCTCATAATGATTTTCGATTGAACATCCAGTTGCACGTGACAGACTTTCTATTGTTAAACATCCGTTTCTCGAAAAATGTCTCTCATTCTTCCGAACCCGGCCTCCGAAGAATGCCATCTCCATTCACCACGTCAACTTTCCTCCTCATTTCTATTTTTACACAAAGGACCCCACAGTTATAATTCTCCAGCCACGCACATACATGCACCAGTATAAAAACCAAGATCTAATTGCGGCACTTTTCCAACTGCCATGTGGGATTTCCTGTTCCGGCATCTGCAAACCTGATACCAGCCTTCATACACACCCGCATGGCTGAAATCCCGCTGTTGCGGGTTTATGTGGGACAGTTGTACATTTCTGCTCCCAACACACTTTTTTTGGCAGGGCAACATTGATGGATTTTCTATTCTCGAAAAGGAATGAAGAGATGAAAAAGATGGATAGAATAAAAATGGCAGAAAATAATGTGAATCATTGTTACCAGAACAATCAATTCATACCCTCCTCAATTTATTCCTCCACTTTCAGGAATGAAGCTCGTTGCCGCGCATCAACCCTCGCCATTGAAAGGAATGATGTATAGCATCGCAAGCAACTCTTTGTCTGCAAAGCTCCCTATATAAATCCATCATTTACCCCTCTCCAAAGTTTCTTTTGTTCTCTATCGTTCTCATCTACAATTCACTTCCTATCAATTCGTTTCAACTGCAGCTTCAGTCTCTAAATCTCATCTGTATAGTCTTCTTCTTTAAGTTTTAAACTACAAAACCAACCTCATTATGAAGTTCTCACTCGTTCTTTTGGCCATTACTGTTACTCTTACCTCTGCGGCCGAGTTTCCAGGTCAGCCCGCTTGCGCTGTAAGTTTTCCCTAGCAGCTATCTCATTTACTTAACTAAAAATCGTCACAGAGCGCCTGTATCTCCCAAGCCGTAGCAGAAGGGACCAACTGCGACATTGAAGACACAGCCTGCCAATGTCAAGCCTCCAATCTCGCCGGTATCTCCAGCGCCATCGTTCCCTGTATCCTCGGCGCTTGCACTGCAGCCGGAGAGATCCAACAAGCCCAAAACGCACCCAATAGATGCACCATAGCACCTGCCGAAACCACCGCGTCCGAAAGCACTAGCACCACCGAGACGGCTTCGGAAAGCTCTACCTCGTCCGCATCTCCAGGCTCATCATCTTCTTCTTCGGGCCCGGCTTCGACTTCGGAGGTTGGCTCATTAACCACTGCGCCAGCGACGACTTCAAGACCTGGGAATGGAACGGTGACTACCGGAGGTCCTACTGCTACTTCTAGTACAGCTGGAGAGGTCACCGCGAACGCGGGACACTCTGTTGGGCTTGTGGGTGTTGGTGGGATGGTTGGTCTTCTCGCGGCTGTGGTCGCTGCTTTGTAGATGGTCTTGTCTTTTAGACTTGGGATACCATAGCACAGTATAGCATGCGATGTTTTTTGTATTACTGCAGTGTTTGTAGGAAAGGGAAATGGAGGTGGATGTAATAATTATTGGATATTTGGATTCTTTTAATCACATTATCAAAGGGCTTTGAGGGAAAATCTGGATGGGAAAGAAAATTTCATGGGAACGATCCTAGGCACGGCGAGACTTGGCAAACTCACGACATTCCTTAACAGCAAAATTCTCGTTTAATCTATCATGTAGCTAGTAAAGTTCAATAAAGTCATTTCACATCTCTATGATCGATCCCAGTATCTCGTCTGATTATGTGCGTTCCTTGGTATGTTCGTGAGACAATGGCTTCTTGCCGTCAATGTTCATTCCGACTTTCTTCCCCGGCTCTCCTCAATCGGACTAGAACCTAGGAAGAAGAACCCAATGGTAGCTGAGAAGATGAAGAAGCTGATGCGTAGTCGTATAATCGTCACCTTGATCAAAGCTTGAATCAAAAAGCGCCGCGCCGCCAAACAAAAAAGAAAGGACGCATACCCGGGGCGAAGAAGCTAGCGCCGCATGGCTTGCTGCATTTCAGGCTGAGTGTTTTTTCAAAACTTCCCCTCTCTCCACTGTATTTCATTCTCTATCGACCCGTTCTACCACGCCCGAAAGTCTTTCATATAGAGTTATAGACGACTGTGGTCGAGTCACGTGAACGACGACCTCAATAAACCATGCAAGAAAGGTCAGCCATTCAACAAGCATGTTCGGATATAAGACTGGCTCGTCCATACCCTTTCTAGCGTATCGTGGCTAGTTGAATGTACACAAGATCCAGCCGCAACTTACGGGTGATTTCAGATCGAATGACTCGGCGAAGTATGCATTGTTGTTGAAGGTTACATTGTGCATAGCGGGTAATTCAAACATAAGCAGCCACTGTTCTAGATGTAAAATTTCAACTATCCAATGATTTGGCACATCCATCCGTTAAGGTATCAAGGTATTTTAAAATTTTCCGGCGGCTTTTGCCATGCGCGACCGACCGATCGAACTAACGCAACGGCATCTACAAACGCTTTAGATCTCGTGGCTAGCGGCCACACGAAAGCCACATAGAGTTTTTTTTGGCTTCAAATTGGACCTATGAAAGTTTCTCGTGCATTTACATTGCAAATGAACATGGGGGTGGTAAAGGAGACAACCAAGATTCGCAAAACAAGGTACGCGAGGTGCTCAATTTGTACACTATAAATGACGGGTTTGAGCTGGACTGTCTTTTGGAGAAGATCTAATGGGTCCATCAGGTTCTACTGACGAGAGAAAATGCGCGAGATAATAGAATCCAAGATCACAAATAATTTGAGCCGGTATCAAAGGTTTCTTCTGTTACGTCTCTCATCACCAAGAATGCTCACATGGAGCACTTGATTCTCGATATCAAGAACTCTGTGCTTGTAATTATCGCCAGGCCATCAGAATTGGCACCGCGTTTACTGAAAGAGTCGCTAAAAAATTCATGCAGATGAAACTCTCCCGTGTCGCTTAGCTGCCTTAAAATAGCTTTTAGAGCTAATAGAAATCCAAAGATAGTTTCCCTAGGTCATTGAAGCCTGGTCGACCTAATTCAAAGGGTCGCATACCGAAGGAGACAATATGAAAGAAGCCGAGTCAGGTAAAGATATAAAGAGATGAGCATCTCTGCCCCAAAATCAGTACAGTCTTTCCATCTGTTCCATCTGTTGAAAACCATCAACTCTATAGAAAAATATCATTTTTTAGCTTCATCTTATCTCAAATTCAGCAATATGATCTTTACAAAACCATCCATTATCGTTCCACTCTTGCTGGGTGCATCTTTGACTTCAGTGATCCCAACTCCTGAATTGGTACCCAGAACTCCTGGGGAAGTTCTTAACGATGTGCGTCTAAACCCCTATCTCTGTAAAATCAATCTCTCTAACGATATGATAGTATGAGGGCATTTCTCTCGACGGTATCTCAGGCGTAATGAGTGCTGCACTTATCACCGCTCTCTACAACCAGCTTTCCTATTCCAATTTCTATGCGGTGCGCCAGACTGGTCTATTCACTATCCTCGTTTAACCCAATGGTAAACAAGCTGCCGTTGGAAGCAATATTTCCACTCTAGCATCCGTTTATGCTGGTTCTACGGTCGCTCCTTTCAAGCCTAACTCCGCATACTTCGGATGTGTTGTGAACAGCGATTCTGCCGTGTGTCCAGGTGTATATTGTACTGTGGAAGTTACAGCTTATAGACCGGATGGTACACCAAATACTGATAAAGCAGGATGCTCGTTTGTTGGCGGGAATACTCGTAAGTGTACTCGATTGCCAATATTTCATGAAGCGCATTGTGGAAATACTTCCAAGTCCTGAGCACTGACAAACGCTAAATATCTGACTAATGATAGTTGACCAATGCATGTTCCCTACTAAAAGTCGGCTCTTATAAGCGGCCTTCTAATTCCTAGTTGGGGAAAGCGGTTGTCCTCGGAAAGCGATTGTCCCCTTATATTTTTTGGTAGGTAACTTATTTAATTCCTAAAATAAGATTATGAATTTAACATTATTGGATTGTTGTGATTTCGTTGAATTCAACAATACAATTTGTTTTCAAATAATATAATATTTTTTGAACGAACGTAATCACTTTCTGGGGACAACCGCTTTCCCTGACTAGGAACTAGGAGGCCGCTTATAAGAGCCGACTATTACCTGGACCACGGTTTGGAAACTTTCATACCAAGTCGTCGCATCTCAGATTTCGACATCCGTGGGCCCCACTCTTGGTAGTTTGCTTGGAAGCTTGTCGGCCGCGCTTGGCACCGTTCTTTTCTATTTCGACGACTTTGATGCAATCTATACATGTATTCCGGGAAAGACTAATGCTGTAGTTAGTGATCTTTATGGTTTGAAAGCACTAGAGCTGGTGTCTGGTAGATGGAAGCTTGTTGGAGAGTTATTAAATCGGATTTGCATAATTGGCTGTGTGTTTGGAAAGGGTTCAAATTGCCTTTATTGCCTTTATTGCTATTTCAGTTTCTGCTTTGGTATTGTCACTTGAATCTTTTGGCATACTACCTGGTCTAACATCAGGGCTCCGTCTTTCTCTAGCTTAGTTCTTCTATCTGAGTATTGATCTTTTGAGGCCAATCCAAGAACTTTCATGTGATAAATGTGATATCCTTGTATAATATAGCTCCGCCAATCGAATTACGAGACAGCGGTATGTTAAGAAAGAGGAATATATGAAAGGTACTGATCGTGCTTCCTTCCATCAACTAGATGCGAGAAAGCTTTTCTAAAGGGGGATGATTAAGGGAAATGACCACCGAGTACACGCTCGCTTCTCGATTTGGAATATGTGGCACGGCGTTCATCAGATGAATACTATTCCACGATTACGATGCTAACTTCTTGAACGATATGAAATGAGAAGGAAAAAAGGTACCAGTACGCTTAAAAAGATACCAGATTCTAGTTGGTAAGCCTGCTTGGACAAGAAGTTAAACGGAGTAACGACATCTCAGACGAGGTACTTGTGGTCGCTGACGTGACAGTAGAAACAGTGAGTGCCATTTCGGATTTGTAGGGTTTCAAAAGACCCAAAGCTTTTGTTGCACTTGCAGAAAATTGTCAAATCATTTATTGATTTAAAAAGTCTTCAATACATTATGGGGATGAAGACTGCAGTAATCACCCCGTACTGTGATGAAATCAACATGTTTGTTCAGTAGTAAAAGGATATCAAGAAAAGTAAAATAAATGGTGACGAGACGGTAGGTTACTTTGCATTTCAATCTTATCGCCTAGTTTTGCGACCCCGCACTAAGAACAGAAGCCAAGCACACTTCACTTAGATTAGATAAGCATCCTTCACTAAACTTTTGAATATTTACGCAAGGAATCATTACAAGCCAAGGAATCAAAAATTGATTGACGATCGAGATGTTTCGCGACACCGAATTTCCACTATCTTCCGGTACTTTTACCATGTCACCGTCAGAACCTACCACTCAAAACGACGACTTTGACGATGTCTTCGGATCTGAACCAGGTTCTCCCACACTTGACGGCAGAGATATGCGCGGAGATATGTTTAAAGTTGGAAACACAGAGATTTCGGATATACCAAGATTAAAGGAGAAGCACGAAACAGAAGGATACAGAGATGGTGTTACAAAAGGAAAATCTGAGAGTGTTCAAAAGGGATTTGACGAAGGTTATGGATTAGGTGCTGTATTAGGGTTGAGGATAGGAAAGATTATAGGAATTCTTGAAGGGATTTCTGGGGCAGTTTCAGTGTCCGCGAGCAAGTCCAAAGACGCAGAATGGGCGAAAGAGAAGAGTCGATTAGAGAAACTGTCCAATAATGCAAAGAGTGTATTAAAGACAGAAGAGGTTTTTGCAAGAGAGTGGTGGGGCGAGGATGGAATATGGAAATTTGAAGTTCCAGGAGAGAAGGAAGGAAAGGATGTCGTATTTCCCGACGTTGCTGCAGCACACCCTTTACTCAAGAAATGGGAAGGGATTGTGAAAGAGGAGATACGAAAGTGGTCGTTGGATATGAATTTGATGGAGGGAAATGAAGAGGACGTTGTACCTGTGGGACAGCATGTGAAAGCCAATGCTGTGGAGCAGAGGATTGGTGCGGCAAAAACGGATCTGAATTGGTGAAAGAGCATTGACAACACAGAATTCAAATGATCATATCTGGAGGCGAATCCGACTTTGCACGGCATATACGAGATTTGGCCAGCAGATGGCATCTTGGGACTACCAACCCCTCAAACCAAAATAAATCATCAAGCACCGATATTCACACGTCGAAAGAAACTGACAGTTTGGTGTTGGATAGAAACCTGATGAGTAAATGTCCGTTTGCTCGAGGGCATTTACAACATGCATCCTTCCCTCATTTTGTCGACACCTTGATGCAAGCAGGCCTAAGGATCAGATTAATCGGCCCCAGCATCGACGCCTTGTGGACCCAACCAGCCCTCTATGAAGCAGATGAGAGCTCGGGGTCACCAATTTCAAGCAAAGGCCACCCTTTTCGGAAGTTTGAAGAGACAAATGAATTTTCAAAGACCAAAGCGTACGCCAACATCTATCGCTAAAGTCCAGCTAAGAGTAACGATAACCATTTTGGGGTCCCTGCAACCTACTCTGGTGCCTGTCTCATTGGAGATGATTATGCATCAATTCACACTTTAAGGTTAAAAAAAGTGTGTGGAATTAATTAACCATTGGATGGGACTTCTTTAGCCAACTGTTGCCACGGGGCATTCGGATTGTAATAATAGAAATACCCCAATTATACAATGTGCTATTGTGATATCTATGTACCTGTAGATCTTTGACCTATCCTGTACTCCATTTATTTAAATCAAGATACGAGAATCTAACCGGATATCCAGCTTTGAGCGCTTAAAGAGACCCAATTGCTGGGGGAGGGGCTTTTCATGTGCAGAGTTACACCCTGCGTTGCTGCGGTCAATGCACACAGGTACTCCGTAGGCTCGCAGTTACTAGCCTCCTAGCTCCTAGCCAGCCTTTCCAACTTCTGGTGGTATTTTTGTGAAACACACCATTGAAAGTACCTAGGAAAGAAAGAAGCTTAAAGTCGCCGAACCAGTTATATCTCACGCTGGGATGGATCGACAAGGGCACTTTAATGATCTACGGTTATCCCCCGCCAATGATAGGTCATGGAAGTTGAGGTTGTCGGGGTTCATGGAAAAAGTATCTCATCAAGAGATGGATAAGCAAAAACTAGAACATGTCACTCTCGCATTCGATCGATAATAGCTTAATGATCAAGACACGATTTTCCGCCAGTGGATGATTCGTAAAGTGACCGCGGGTTGTTGAGAACCATAAGGCCTAGTAGGAGGGAAGAGGGTCCGGTCGAAAGACTCTTGTTGGCATCTGAGGATAGTGAGTAGTTAGTTGGGAGATGAGGTAGGTCAAGGAGCCGGCAACAACGGCCCTGCTACGTTGGATGAAAAGAAGCATTTTTCCATTTTTTGGCTTAACCTCACAGACATTAGTCCTTGAGTATTTTCCTATTTCCCTGAGATACCCAGCTGAGGTCTAGCTGAGGTAAGGTTACATGGTTACATACCTAGTAGTCTCACAGACGAATTGATCCTTCCTGACTCTCCTCCGTGACTACTACCATATGAAAATATAGCCGATACTGATATTCGTACTCTAAATATCATACATATCATAAATATCATACATATCAGATACAATCAAGAAGGGAAAGAGGTACTTATTAGTACTCGTTATGTAAGTGGGGACGTATTACTCCTTTAGTATAACTATACGTACTTAGTATACCTACCTAGTCCTATCATTTCATCTCTTTTCCTCTCTCTACTATCTTTCGATTTTCTTTGACCTTCTCCCCTCCTCTCCCTTATCCGTAATAATTACCTAACACTCCTCCATCTTCAACCTCAACCTCAACCTTAACCTCAACATTCACCTCTCACCTCTCACCTCACCTCTCACCTCTCACCTCTCGTCTTCACTCATACCAAGACCTCACATTCTTTTCTCCCTATTAATTTCCTATATCAAAGATTCAATCTTCCTATCGGCTTGCTGTCCACTCCTTTAAAGATTGTGTATATCTCTATTATCGAATCCTAGATTTCTAATCGTTTTGAATTAATTCATCGGATCGAAAAACAACAACAAGAGCAAGCTCCTTCAGACGAGCAGTCGCATTTGCTTGTTTGTGTCTAATTAAACCCCTATCATACGAGGTGAGTTTTCATATATGTCTCATTTCATGCTTTATACTTCAGCCTTCTCACTTGATATAATTCAAATTCTGTCATCTGCATCGCCAATCGGCGCATGAAATTGCGGTCGCCTAGTGAATGGATAAAAGCCTTTTGTTGATCTACACAGCCTTTGCCTCCAATGCGACGAGGCAAGGCTGGGAATTATATAATACTTCACACAATACTCCCAACATCTTATTAGAGCTCAAATCTTCCTTTCTTTCTATTTTCCATTTTATTCAAGCTACACCTTACTTACTCACCTGTCGTTACTTGTCAATATCTTCTCGCATTGAATTTGACGCACCCCATACTGATCTTCTAAAAGTGATCCTTAGCAGCCATGAAGGCTTCCTTCATTTCCTTGGGCCTTGTTGCCTCTGTCTCCGCCAACATTGTCTTCAATCATGTCCCATTAAGTTGTGATATTCGAAGCAGTAACTTATACTATGGTTGTCTCGAAGGTCAAAATTGTACAGATGATGGAACCAATGAGTGAGTAACTTTGGACAAGTACAACAGAAGCATCTAACTAATTTGCCCCGCCAGATGTTATGTCCCAACCACTCCAATGCCATCTCGTTATTATCCAGTCCCAGTCAAAGATCGAACGATTGAGCCAAGACAAGCTGTCTACTCAAAAGATGGTAGCTGTGGTCCTGCCAATGGGAACACTCTCTGTGATCCAAACAGCACAGTGTACAAGGGATCATGCTGCTCGGTAGGTTATCCCAACCAATCATGGAAGATCAATAACTGATTTCAATGATAGTCATACGGCTGGTGTGGAAATGATGCAGCGTGAGTACACTACCAATCCTTATTCTTCTTGAATTATTACTAACATCTTATAGTCATTGTGGAGCCGGATGTTTATCTGGATGTACCGGCGGCAACACAACTCCAAGCGGTACCTCTCCTCGAACTGATGGTCGATGTGGAAGTGTGAGTTTTCACATTGTTCTGTTGTGATTGTGGTAAACTGACCTTAGAAGGCTTTCGGTGGTGCTACCTGTGATGCAAACGGTGCTTTTGGTGGTTGTTGCTCTGCGTATGGGTGAGTCATGCTTTACTCACATTCGATTTGAGCTTTCATATTGCTCAAATTACATCCTATCATAATGTATGCTAATTTTACCGTTTGCAGTTATTGTGGCTCTACAACTGATCATTGTTTGGCGTCGAATGGTTGCCAGAATGGATGCACAGACTCGCAGTCCACATCAGCCCCCAAGACCACTACCAAAGCTGGAGCAGGCAGCGCACCCTCTTCATCTACAACTCAAGAACCAGTGATTGCTCCAGTTACTTCTACACTGACACCTGCCGCAGCCAGCAATGCACCAGTAACTACTGATGGATCATGTGGTACCGCTAATGGAGGTACCGTTTGTGGTAATTGGGTAAATGGAAATTGTTGTTCCATGTACGGCTTTTGGTAAGTGTAGTCATTCACTCGTGAAACTCTAAATAGTCTAACACAAGGTAGTGGTAGCACCAATGCACATTGTGGTGCCGGATGCCAATCGGGAGATTGTTTGAATGCGCCTGTGGTTGCAGCCCCTGGTGCAAGTCCTGCCCCAGCCGCCCCAGAGGGAGGTGCCTTCAACATCGTCGGATCATCTGGAGTTCCCGCTATGCACGCCGCACTTATGCCAAATGGACGAGTTATGTTCCTCGACAAATTGGAGAACTACACCCAATTGAAATTGCCAAACGGATACTACGCAATGTCTTCGGAATACGACCCAGAAACCAACGCAGTTGCCACTCCTTTAGCTTATAAGACAAATGCATTTTGTTCCGGAGGTACTTTCCTTGCTGATGGACGTGTTGTTTCTCTCGGAGGTAATGCGCCTTTGGATTGGCTTGATCCGAACATTGGTGATGGATTTGACGCTATCAGATACCTTGAACGATCTTCTACCGATGCTAGCCTCAATGGAAAAGACTGGAGTGAACCAGGTAACAAGCTCGCAAGTGCTCGTTGGTATGCTACTGCTCAAACCATGGGTGATGGAACCATCTTTGTCGCTTCTGGAAGTTTGAACGGCCTCGATCCAACTGTTAAAACGAACAACAATCCTACATACGAGATCCTCAGTCCTACCGCTGTGTCACAAGGGAAGAACATTGATATGGAAATTCTGGAGAAAAACCAGCCATATTATATGTATCCTTTTGTCCATCTCCTCAATGATGGAACTTTGTTCGTCTTCGTTTCCAAGTCCTCCCAAGTATTCAATGTCGGTACCAACACTGTCGTCAAGGAATTACCAGAACTTGCTGGGGACTATCGCACATATCCCAACACCGGTGGAAGTGTTTTACTTCCTTTGTCAAGCGCAAACAAATGGAACCCTGATATTATCATTTGCGGTGGAGGTGCATATCAAGATATTACAAGTCCAACAGAGCCAAGTTGTGGCAGAATTCAGCCATTGAGCGCAAACCCCACATGGGAATTGGATGCTATGCCGGAAGGTCGTGGTATGGTTGAAGGAACCTTACTTCCTGATGGAACGGTTGTTTGGCTTAACGGAGGTAACTTGGGTGCGCAAGGATTTGGACTTGCAAAAAATCCAACATTAGAAGCTCTTCTTTACGATCCTACAAAAGCTAAAGGCCAAAGATTCTCAACTCTTGCCACGTCAACCATTCCACGTCTCTACCATTCTGTCTCTCTTCTCCTTCTCGACGGTACATTGATGGTCGCTGGCTCAAACCCTGTCGAAATGCCAAAGCTTCAACCAGATGCAGCTGATCCATATGTTACGGAGTTCCGAGTTGAGAACTATGTTCCTCCATATCTCTCAGGCGACAATGCAAAGAAGCGTCCTACCAATGTAAAATTGTCATCGGATAGCTTCAAAGCAGATGGTAGCACACTCGATGTCACCTTTGATTGCCCAGCTGGCGCGAAATCAGCTACTGTAACTTTGTACCACGGCGGATTCGTCACTCATTCGGTACATATGGGTCATCGCATGCTGCACTTGGATAACACGGGCTTCGTCGCCGGTGCTACACAACAGAAGTTGACTGTTACTCGACCACCAAACAACAATGTTGCACCTCCTGGTCCATATGTTGTTTACATTCTTGTAGACGGCATTCCTGCAATGGGACAATTTGTTACGGTTTGAAGATTTGTATTTTAACGATGTTCAACGGAATTTTGCTGCATAGCTTTGGTTTGGGATGAAATATGGTGTGATATCCGGATGACCAAAATTGTACGCAGGGCTAATAAGGCCAGGGCTAAGAGTTAAGACTCGATAGCGAATAATGATAATAATTCTTCAATTTTGTATCAAGGT